AAAATTGGATAGATTTTCTAGTCTCTCGCTAAGGCTGTCAGAAGATGATGCATCCTGTAATCAGAGCTCAAACATTTGCCCAGGCTGTGCTGTAGGTGTTTGGAGTGATGTCAAGAAGCATGATTGTGAGGCAGCTTTAATTTTCTAAGAGGTCTCTAGTCCTGTGGCAGAGCCAATAAGCAAACAAGAATTTCCTTGGGAGTAAAGGTTTTGTAGCATAGCTGAACTATTTCTTCCCTTGAATAGTTCCAGCTTCTCTAACTGCTTGGAATTCTGTCTTGGCAGTTCTGTTTCCTGCGTGGGTTGTCCTTTCAGGGCTGACAGTGCCTTTTCATTGTTGCTCTAGCAGCAATCTAAAGTGGAGACAGCAGTTTGGTGGTACAGCAGAGCTCACAAGTATGCTTCCAGTGAGTCCTTTCCTTCTGACAACTGCCTCTGTTAGGAAATGTAGACTGGTAGTATGTCAGATCATGGATCTTCAGGAAAACTTTTTCTATCGCTCACACCGTTTCTTTTCAACTTCCTTGTCAGCCTTAATTTTCAAGTCATCTTGTTCTGATGTGTTTCCACTGGAAAGGAGAATTTCTTGTACAGGTCTACACTTCTGAACTACTTACTTGTTTTTTCTTGTTCCCACTCCTGATTTCAAAGAAGGAAAATTTGTCAAAAACGGGCTTTAATATCAGCAGTGTATTTGGTAATCTTCGTTTCAGTCATCTGGGTTATATATACCATTACGGAGTTCTTGGTTTGTAAAGCCTTTGTTTTTACATCTGGATACCTCTGACATGTGGCATATCCAAGAGTATTAATCACATGGCATTCCTTCTGGCAAAGCTCTTACGTCTAGTAAGAGCGATATCTGATTTAAGAAGGCAGGGAGTTCATTTTTGTTCCTATCTAGATGATTGCTTGGGACAAGGTAGGTCACTGCAGGAAGTCACTGCGTTTTGCAGTGCCTCTGAATTTCTTTGACTTGATGAGCATGGAGAAATGCAGTGCTTTTCTTTTTTCCCAGAAATGTGTGCTTAGAGCACATCTGCATATGGTAGGGTACTTGTCTTGATCAGCAAAAACCGCTGGGGATTGTAATGCAGACGTTCAGGAAGAGGTGGTGTTCTTAGTTTTACTATAGATTATTTTTTCATGGCAGCTAAACTGAGGGGGAGAAAGTGTTTGGGTTTGAGAGGTGCTGCACACAACCCCAAAGAATACACCACAAAAACTCGCTGAGTTGCCAGAGGATTTATCTGAGATGGGTGTATCCAAAATTGTGGAAAATACTCTGCTATGTTTAGGAAAGTAAAGGTGGATAGAACATTTCCATGACGACCACAGATTTTCACCAGAAGTAGCATTACTTTTGATAATGCAGAGAAGATCCAGCCTTTGCTATTTGCTAGGAAGCAATTACCATGGGTGAATGTAAAGTGACCATTGAAAGATTTTCAGTTAAGCCACAACAAAGCTGCTGATAGCAGGTGAGGCAATTTGAAGCTGTTTTGCCTCTGTGGTATAGTCTGGGGGAAAGGCTGCATCCTGAAAAATGGAAGAGGAGATTTATAGCAAACAATCTTTGGATGACTGTAACAGATACCATTGGGTTATTGTATGCTCACACTGAGTAGGTCTAAAGGTGTGGGCTAGATGAACTCCTTGATATGGTCATTGAATTTTTCACCAGTAGTCAGGGAAGTAAAAGTAATGATGAAGAATTGATTTTAGGAGATACTGAGGATATTACGAAAGCTGCTTTTAGTAAGTAACTGGCTTTGATAGGTATACAGGTTAGATAGGCAGGTATATAAAATGGGTATGTGATTGTGTGTTGGGATTTATACTATGAAATAAATTATTGAACTCATTATTAGTTGGATTGAATAGAAAAAACTGTCTTCCCAGTTATTTAGTGGTAGGAATTGGTAGGAAGGCTTTACTCCCAAGTAAAACACAGTGTGCTATTTTTTAAGTGTGCACATTACTCAGAAGGGATTAGTCAGCAAAAGTGAGTTGTCTCGAAAGTCAGAAATGAGAATAGCCAAAAGTTGCATCTAAAGCTTGTAAAAGATGTAATCAAAAGAAAATTCTTGTCAGGCTGTTAGGTAGAGGAGCTAAGGTAAAGTCAGAGAATTTAAGTAATCCTGTGCCTGTATTGCCAATAAATGAAACAATGTAAAGTACAACGGGAGAGGGCTAATAATGCTCAGAGGAAAATGAAAATTATTACCTTAAAGTCAGAAGAGAAATTGATTGAAACTAACACAAAAGTTGGGATATGAGGGAAATGGGTACAGTGAGGAAGAATATGCTTAGGACATTCTGATGGTGGGGTTGGATGGTGTCACTGATGTTCAGAAACCCTGGGGCATCATATGGAGGGGCTATGTAATAGAAATTAGGTGAGAAATTCAGTATTAAGAAATGAATATATTCCCCATCAAAGATTTCTTTAAGAAAGTTAGAGATTGAAACAGAAGGTGGTAAATGATCTCAGGAGTTATCGAAGTCCTGCAGTCCCCAGTAGTGGCAAATACAATCTTGTGAGTTTGAGAAGGCATGTTTCAGGCAAAAACGGAGAATTGGGCCTCCAAGGGTGCTGGAGAGGGACTCTTCATCAGGACTGTAGTGATAGGACAAGGGGAAATGGGTTTAAACTTAAGCAAGAAGAGTTCAGGGTAGATGTAAGGAAGAAGTGCTTTACTGTGAGGGTGGTGAAGCACTGGAACAGGTTGCCCCTTTACCAGAGAAGTGGTGAATGCTCCATCCCTGGCAGTGTTCAGGGCCAGGTTGGACAGAGCCTTGGGTGACATGGTCTAGGGTGAGAAGCCCCTACCATAGCAGGGGGAGTGGAACTAGATGATCTTGAGGTCCTTTCCAACCTGAACCATTCTATGACTCTATAATTACTAATAGTGTCCCAGAAAGCCTGAGGTTGGGCTCACAGAAAGCCTTATCTGTGCTGCTGTTTGTGCCTGTGTTTATTTATATTTAAGGGCAGATTGCTGCAAAACTATTTTCTTGTTAGGCATGTCCTTTGAGCTCATGATTGTCCATCTGATGTTTGAGTTAATTTTGCTGATTCTATGACATACCAAACATGTATTTCAAAATGTTTTAGAAACAAAAGAAATATTTTACTCTTGAGTATTTGTTAGTCTGAACTTCTTTTCACTGTTAAAATTCAAGGCTTCCCCAACTAGTTTGCATATTTAATGTACAGGTAGTAGTCAGTTAAACTGAAAATGGAAGAAAATGTTACTGCCAAGCATATTGCAAGAAGCACAAGCATTGTCAGCTCAGACTCTAAAAAAGAAAAAAAAAGGTGAAGTAAGCGGTCCCTAAGCTCTAAGGAATGATGTAGGGAACTTCTGGTCTAATGAGATTTATCTTTTTGTAGGACCTCTATTTAAAAAAAACAAAAAGGCCATTTCAGGAAGAGCCTTTTCAGCAGAATTAGGCTGAATTACTTTCCTGTATGCTCAGGTTTTTATGTTTCACTTTCATTCGGTGCGATTTGTGACTGGCTGATATTGAACACAGTAGTTTTGTGTCCCTTACCAGTTTTTTAAATCCCGGTTGGCAGAATCCAGTAACATTTGAAGTGATGTGTTATGTCTTCGATGAAAGTCAGTTCTGATCATTTGGAATTCTTACAAATGGTTGTCAGGTAGCAGCAACTTCAAAAGAGGCTCTAATAAGAAGCACATTTGGGTATCCTTTTTTTAAATCTCTTAAAACTCTTTGTGCTAACTGAAAGAAGAGGAGCTGCAGACTCAGTTACACCTTTGGTGTATTTTAAATAGGAAACCTAAGATGATGAGAGTCTGTATACACTTGTGTTGCTCCATTTTAAAGTAAAAAGTGCACAGGAGATCATTTATCACCTGGTTATTCTGTGCTTGTGGAATTAGAGGTAGGTGACACATTTAATATAACACATTAGGGCATTCGTAAAAAGACCTTTAAAAGCCACATAGCATAGTTTCCTAAATCTTGTACTACAGAGTTGCAGATACTTGCAGTTTATTGGAGATTCTGTATCTGTATGAAGGTGCATGGGAATCCCAGTCTTTTTTGGATTTAAAGGGGGGATGTAAGGAGAGAAGTACCAGCAGAACAGAGCACTTCAAGACCTGATATACACCCCGTTGATTTAAGGGGAGTAGGGGAGTAGTCTTTCCACACAGTTCTACAGCTACTGTTTTATGCTAAGTAACTCCAAAGTGCAGCACTGTACATGTGAAAATCATCATGGGTAGCTATAAATGCTGATCTACTGAGTTACATAAGACAATACTTGGAAGCCAGTGGCTGAAAAAAGGCCCTTCTAGATAAGCAGTGAGTGGCAGGATTAGAGGCTGCAGGTGTGGAGGAGGGGAAGAACAGTACTGCTGCCTTTTGCAGGAGTGAGCATTTTTGGTGGTTAAACCATCCTCACCTAAAATTTAACTCTCAATTTAATTTTTCTTGTAGACGTTGTCTGGATAGAAGGAACACGGGATTGTGTCGAATTAACTTAAAGTGTGGATTTGGAGGGAAAAAAAAAGGCTGCTGTACTGACTTGCAAACTGAATTAAACTAAAAAGCTAAGACCCCCTCATTTCTGAGTGAGTGTGGGTTATACAATTAGTTTGGCTAACTTTCTGTGTGGAGAAGTGTTAAGATTTATTAGTGTGGTTTTCTTTTAAGCCCAGGTTGTGTGCTCTGCCTAACAGATCTCAGTTCCTTCTTAATAAAATATTTCACTTTCTGATGCCTTGCAGCCTTGGAAAGTAAAATGAAGATTTGTTGATCTGATGTGAAGAACTAGCACATCAAAGTGACAGTTCTGTGAAATTTTGCTTTACACCTTCCAAGTTATTGTAAAATAAGTGATGAGATATAGAAGTGGCTAGAAGTGCTTGGCTAACGGATTGAGATGGAGACAGGGTATAAAATGCTGTACTGTTGAATAGGAATTCTTTTCTGACTTCTCTTTTTTTTTTAATTGCTTTGTAAAGGAACCATGACGACCTCAGGAAAAGAGAATTTCCGACTGAAGAGCTACAAGAACAAATCTCTAAATCCTGATGAGATGCGTCGCAGGCGGGAGGAAGAGGGTCTGCAGCTACGGAAGCAAAAGAGAGAGGAACAGGTACTGTACTACAGTTGGGGTAACTGTAACCAGTCCTTAAACAGTCTTGTCTTGCACCGTCTCTGGCTCTTTGCTTCTCCCAAGCCCCTTGTTAGTTGTTCCTGCCCAGTGAAATTCATACATAGTCTGAAATCAGTCACCTGCAGACCTCACTGCCTCTTCTGCAGGCTTTACAGAACTGTGCTCCTCATTCACTGAAGTGTAAGACTGGCCAGAGCAACTTAAAGGTGATTTGAACAAAGCTGTCTGACCTTGCACAGCTTGCACTGAGGGCGACTTGGGAGTCTGGTTTGTTTTTTGTTTAGGTTTTGGCAGTTTTTTTCTTCCCCTCACCCCCTGAGTTGTGCTGTCTCTAATCCCTGTTCGAAGAGTGGGAAGCTGGTGTGAAATGGAAGGAAACATTGCAGTTAGAATAGGAGCAGAATGCCTCACCAAGTCCTTATAAGTTGCAGTAATGATTTTCTTGAGGGAAGAAATAAGTTATTGACCTCATTCTTCTCAGTTTTTTGTCTTTAAGTTTCAGTTCATGAAGTAAAAAAAAGCTCAGGCTATGTTTATACTCATAAGGCTGGTACCTTAAGTAGTGGATTTAATATATCTTGTATGCAAAGTGATCAAGAAGAAGATGCTTGGAAAAGAAGCTTCTCTGCCTCCTCATGTCTTGCTGGTTCTTACAACTTTGTTCGCACTGCCAGGTGGCGGGTGTTCTGCAGGTTTCTATCTTATCAGGAAACAGCAGCACTAACAAGATGTAATGGTTTAAGCTCAGCTGGCAACTAAGTACCACACAGCTGCTCTCTCACTCTCCTTCCCCCCTATTGGAATGGGGAGGAGAATCAGAAAAAAGGTGAAAACCCCATGGGTTGAGATAAGAACACTTTGATAATTGAAATAAAAGTATAATAATAATAGGAAATAGAGGAAGGAATAAGCCCTGCCAGTGATGCACAATGCAGTTGCTCACCACCTGCTGATACTCAGCCTCTACCTGAGCACCAATAGGCCCCTTCAGGTAACTCCCCACAGTTTCTATACTGGGCATGACATGCTGTGGGATGGAATACCCCTTTGGCTAGTTTGGATCAGGTGTCTTGTCTCTCCTCCCTCCTGGCTTCTTGTGCCCCTCCTCACTGGCATGAGAGCATGAGAAACTGAAAAGTCCTTGACCAGAATAAGTACTACTTAGCAACAACTAAAACATTGGTGTGTTATCAGCGTTTTTCTCAGACTAAAGCCAAAACACAGCACTGCACCAGATACTAGGAAGATAATAAACTCTATCCCAACCAAAACCAGGACACAAGACATGATGAAAAGCATCTTCTGATAAAAACAGGTAGCCCTGAACAGTTCTTTTTGTTCTTAGTTGTGTTCATTGGAAGCATTAGGGGATTAGTTCAATTTCAAATAAAACTATAATGGAACCCTTTTCATCAGTGTTGAGGTTTCTGGAGTTAGAATGAAGATAGCGTGTTTTCAGTGGTAGGCCAGGTCTAATCTATTCTGTCCAATATTGTTTTCAGTGTCAATACCAGATGCTGTCAAGGCAAGACAGGGAGATTTCTAGGAGGGAATTACAATACTTCCTGTTGATTTTGCTCGGTATGTGCAGGTAGTATTTCCAAACTATTGGTTGCACAGAGTGCCATGGGTCTTCGTACGTAATACTAAATTAGGAAAATGATGAGTCATTTTCTGTCTTACTCGTGCCTCTGAACACTGTGGAGCAGATAACCACAGGTTGGCTAAATAAAACTTGTGGCAGTATTTCCTTCTGTTAAGGAAAGTTTTTAGTCCTAACTGGACTAACAGTGGAGCAGAAGTGGAGCCGCAAGCAGAGCCTGCAGCTCTGCAGTTTTGGACCCTATATAGTTGCTTCTCTTTTATGTATTTGGCACATGGCTGATTGAAGTTTGTATGTGTTTTGGTTTGAGATTGTATTTGAGCACATTTGTTGAGCTCGAGTGGGCACATCATACAGTAGCTTAGAAGGAATAACATTCTGTAAGGATGCCTGTCACTGATCTGGTGTTGCTGTGGACTTGGCAGTTTCATGTGTTTTTACTGTTTCCTCTCCATCCTCTCTGGAGAGGAGAGTAACAACAGCAGGTCTGTTGTCAGGTCTCTGTCTTGCCTGTCTGTACTGGTGCATGTCTGACATGGTTCAGTGCTGCAGCCCTGCCTCCTGAACTCAACAGGCCAAGCGACACCCCAAAAGCCATCTTGTTATTGCGAATATTCCTTCCAGTGGGACAGTTGGATTAAGGGGAGAAGTTGTAGCCTCTCTAGCTCTACTCATGACATCCCACACTGGGTATTTTCTCTGAAGTGGTAGTAGCAACCAAATACTGTTCATCCCAGTATAATTTCAGTCCTATGTGATCATCCTCCAAAGCCCTCTCATTCTGGCTTCTGCATGTGATCTACAAAGATCTGTTACACACTGCAGTTTTTCAGGTCTTTTGAGTCCTCAGCAAGAAAACACTTGTCCAGAAGCTATAGGTGTCTTGTAGGTGGAGCCCATTGCTGTTTTCATTTACTCCATGACTAAACGTTCTTCATTACCGTGAAGAGGAGCCGTGTAGCCAGTGTATTAGCTTCTTTCAGGTGATAGCATATGTCGTTTTTTTTTTATTGCAGCCTGGTATTTACTATATATCTTAAATACTTTATCTCTTTAGCTGTTTAAACGCCGAAATGTTGCAACAGCTGAGGAAGAGGCAGAGGAGGAAGTGATGTCAGATGGTGGCTTCCATGAGGCTCAGATGAACAACATGGAGATGACTTCTGTAAGTGATGAGAAAGGAATACACAGTTTGTTGAAACTGGGGAGGCTTGTTGTGCAGTGACTTGAGGGGAGTGGAATTTAGAAGACAACTCGTAAACATCTGTCTCAGTCAACTGCCTTAAAACAGATTACGTGAGAGAAGAATATTATAGACAGTGGTTGCTTGGTGGATATACTTTCAAGTGAAAGAAAAAGTCATTGTTCCAGGCAGACTGATTACTTCCAATATGAGTGATTATGGATAATATTTTATGATGACAAACTATTGCCCAGGGTTGGGGTTTTTTAATCTGAATTTCATAATGCTTGAAATTTGAAAATACAAACCAGATAATGTATTATTGCTGTTTACAAAGTAAGAAGAGGCTCAGTGGAAATCTTTGTTAGTGGACTTTGAGGGGCAGCCATTTTTAGCCAGGATGTTGGAAATACAGCTAAACCTAGCTTATCTATGTGCATGTGTCCTAAACTCCCTTCCAAGCCAGAGTTTCTCCCTAGAGATAAAACTTTTAGTGCAAATTAGACTTTTCTGCTTTCTCCCTGTTTCTCTACCATGGTTCTCTCCCTAGAAAGAAAAATGGTAAGGGATTTGGGCTATACCAGAGAGGTTTAAGGAAAGTGCAGTCCTCACTTTAAAGTCTGATTACTGGTCTTCATCCTTTTGTTTGTACTCAGAGTATAAAAAAGTTTTCTTAGAAATCAGTTTGGATTTGGTTTCTGTTGGGTGTTACACCACCTTAGAAAACTACACAGTAACAGAGAAATGCCTGTGAACAATGGGGTAGGTCACTAATAGAATGTATTAGTTTACCCTTCAAGATAGCCTTTATATGTCAGACAAGTCCTAAATACCACTTAATCATTTGTTTGGAAGCATGTATTAAATGAATAGTTAGTAAAAGTAAGGAAAGGAGCCTATCTAATTGTGATACTACCGTTATACAGTTTATTTCAAATATCATTCATTTCAGGGTCTTAACAGTTGCTGTTAGCTGTTACAGACAGCGCTTAAGTATTTTCAGCACTGTTACTGTGTGTCTGTCTATCTAACAGTTTGGATCAGATCTGTCTTAAGGATTTAGATACAAAGAAGTGGAAGAAAAAAATCTGACTTTCCTTATTCTTCTTACATGGGTTTATGTGTACAATGAAAAGAATGTCAGATTTTTACCTGGCATAAGAAAGGTCACTGATTTAATTTAGATTCCTTAGTGGAAACATCAGTATTATGGAAAATTTAATACTCTTACTTGATAATGATGACAAGCATTAGGTTTGTCAACTCCTCTAAAAGTGACAGGTCCTGTACATTTTGGTGTAAGAGAATGAGTCAAAATGTACATGTTACAGAAACCTAAACAACAGCATACTTGAAGTGGTGTTCTTGCATAACAGTAATTGCTATTCCAATTTAAACTGCCTTGTGTCAAAGTGGACAATTTTACATTAGTGTTAGAGGAGGGGAGAGAGGAAAGAAAGGGGAGAGAATATTGGTGAGACATTCTGAAGAGTGATTGTGGCGTTTTGGTTTTTGTTTTTTTTTTTCCTCTATGCAAAGTAAAACTTGAATTTTGGCTTCCAGAAAGAAAAGACTACATTTAAGAAAGATACTGCTTATGTAGATGTAAATAAGTTTGTACTTTAATAAATGTATTTGTAATGTAAATTTATTTATATTTTAAACTCATTTGTTTTTCATCATGGTCTTATGTGTTTACTCAGTAAGAGATAAAATTAATACTGGTTTAGCAAACATTGTAACCTTTTTACCATTAATTTCAGATTTTGTTTTCGCTCTTGCTCCCTATCACTTTCATTCTGTTTTCCCCCACCTGAATCCTAGAGTGCAGTCATCACCTCTGATATGATTGAGATGATTTTCTCCAATAGTCCAGAACAACAGCTTTCAGCCACCCAGAAGTTCCGAAAGCTTCTTTCTAAAGGTAAGGGCTGAAATTACTTGGAGAAAATGTTAAAATGTCCCTGGCACGTGTTTTTGCTTTGACAGCAATAAAGACTGAGTTTCATACAGAATTTGGGGGTGAAGCTCTGTTTGCAAAATGGCAGCGAGATGTATATAATAGTCCTTTCCTTGTGATTTTCTTGTGTAACTATTAAGTGATGCAGACATGATGTCTACTCTTGGGTGTAAGTTTAAATATTGTAGGTGGTGTCTCCATGGCTAAAATATGCTGATATAGCGATGTTTCTCTGCATGTGTGCATGCCAGAGTGATTTCACAGAACTGCTGTTGTGAAGTAGGTATGCTTGAGTGCATTAGTGGTTTTAGTCATGTTACTTCATTACCTCAAAATTCAGGCTGGAGTCTTCCTATGGTGACAGATAGGAGTTCATTGTCTTTTAGTAAAGCTAAAGTAGTATTGTAGGAAAAAAACACTCTCAGAAAAGAGGAGTAGTCAGTATGTCAGTGGATATTATTTTGATGAATTTGAGAATTTCCCTACAAATAAATGAATGTATCTAACTTGCTCTTTATTTTACACAGAACCAAATCCCCCAATAGATGAAGTCATAAGCACACCAGGAGTGGTGGCCAGGTTTGTGGAGTTCCTCAAACGAAAAGAAAACTGTACATTACAGGTATACAAATATAAATATGTCTTCCTATATTAGAAAGGCATTTGGTGGTGAAAGTTGGTAGAAAAAGAAGTCAAATATTTGTTTAATTAGCTTTACTTCTCTCTTTCTTCACTAGGTTAAAAATGCTATTTTAACTGTGGAATTTTTGTAGCAAGACCTCTGGGGACAGGGCTGAGAGATAAGACCTCTTGAGTTGCTATGATGGGGTCTTTCCACTTCATCATGTAACAAAAACAGAGTTTGAAATTTGGACCTCAACAGATGAAAAGCTATCAAACTAAACTTTAGTGTTTGTCTTTTTTGTTCTAATTGAAAACAGTTTTATATCTTTAAAATAATGACTTAATTTTTTGATTAAATTAAAGGAAGTTTAGAATTGGAATCTGTAATGATAAACATAGAAATCTTGAAACTTGCTTTGATGGCAAAAACTAAATTGTATCTGCTACAGTGGTGGCTAATTTGTTTTGACGTTGCTTCTCATTTCCAGCTGTCCCTTTTTCTGATCAGAGTTCTTTCTTCTGGGGTAGTAGGAAATGCAAGAAAAGGAATCATTTAGTAAAAGAAAAAAATGTTAACAGGTAACCATTAAATACAATATATAGGTTAGAGTCAGTGTTTTTCAAAATGTGTAAGGCATTTTTTAATGCCATGTGATGTCCAAATTTTGGTGAGTGGAGATACACAAAAAAAATGGATACTTTTTTTTTCTTGAACAGTGGAAAAGAAGTATCATTTAGAGGAATTACTTTTCAAATTGATATCCACAGAATTGCAGATGTCTGTTAGCTACCTTTGAAGAGTCTGTGGGAGTAACTGTATGAGATGTATCTGTAAGAGTATGTATCAGATTTAAGCCAGTTGATTTGCAGCTCCAGGAGAAAGTTTATAAGTGGTCTGATGTAAAAATGGTGGAATGCCTTTTATTACTGATAGGACTCTAGCATGGAAACATAAGACAGGCAGATAAAGGGGAGCAAGCTTCCCTTTTTCAAGGGCATATTTGAATAATAAGGGAAAATAAAGGTAGAGGATACTTCATCAAATGCATATGTATCTAGTTTAAAAAAACTTCAGAAGCAATTGTAGACTGAGTCAAATTACTGTGGCCTTACTGGTGTAATGTGTATTGTATTAATTTTTACACAGAAAAGGCAAAAATCAAATTGAAACTTCCAGGCTTTTCCTAAAGTTTGAAACAAAGCATTTAAAATATAAACCTGAATACATTTCTCATGATAGTCCATTCCAACTGATCCATTTTCCATCGTCTTGCCAAATTTGCCTACCAGCTTGACAGCTCAGGGACTGCAGGTGGAACTTTTTTTGCTGTGAACAATTAGGAAGTTGGTCTTGACCTGACTTTTTAATACTTGTTTTTGCTTTGTCAGTGTTTCTAGAACTGTTCCTTGGCACAGGCAAAGATTGGGTGTGCTGTTCTAGGCATTTCAGTGTCCAGCCTAGCTGTAGAAGGACAGGATTTTTCAGTTCATTCTGGAAACAGTGAAATATATTTTTGCTCAGATACTATAGGTATGGTGAATTGAATATGGCAACTCTTCTGTGTTGATGAACTTGGAACTTTATGTAGCTTTATGCTCTGGTTTTCTCCTGTGTTGTCAATGAGAATATCTGGTAAAAAGTAGGTTTCTAGTATCAGCGGTAGGAAAGCATAATTTGTCTGGAATTTCTCTGTATGGTTTTTACTAAGCAATTTTAAGACTTAAAAAGGTCCCCTTTCTCCATGATTACTGAAGCCTTATGTGAACGAGTAAATTTGTCTGAAGTGCAAAATCTTTTTGTGATGGAGATGGAAATCTTAAGAACAGAACAGTACTACACAGGTACAATGATCATCCCTTGGTTGAGGTTTTCGTCCTGTTAACGAACTTCAGTTGTCATGAAGTACTTTGATTTTCCATCCGTTGCCGTTTGTGTGTGGCTTTTCCTTAGTTTATACATCATGGAGCATCAGGTATCCAGCTGTGGAGAGGGAAGAGAAAAACTGTCACTCTGCTGACCTTTCTGTAACCTACACCATCTGAAATGTTAAGTGGTCCTCACACAAGGGCATCATGTAATTTGCCCTTGATTCTAATTAGGAAAAGTTCACTTTAACAGAACTTCATTTCACAAAAGGTGGGGAGATCTTATGACTAGTTTATATAATCCAAACTTACTTTACAAATATTGGAAGTACAGATTTGAGCAAGAAGTCTATGCTATTTGGTCTTACATTTGTTTGAACGGTTTATATATGGTGTTTCTTCTCCGTGTGAGTTTGCGAGTTGTGAGTGGTTCAGCCTGGTGACATCCATTAGGAAGCCAAAGGTTAAGTTCTCAAATATGAATAAGAAAACTCTGTGGTTGAAAGATGACTAATAATCCTGTTAATACTGCCTCACAAAACACTGGATGCTTACTTCAGAGAAAGTAAAATTACAGGAAAGCCCATACACTTTGTTGTCCTTAAGCTCTCACCTAAACGTTTTGCTTTGAGTTCTGAATGATGAGTGTTGCAGTTTTGACATCGTATGTTTCTGCTTTATTACAGCCCATAATTTTGTGTATTATAGCAATGTATTTTGGAATCGTTTATCCTGGTCACATTTTACCAGGAGATAATTTCTCCTTTAGTTCTTCAGGAGGGGAGGATTTTTAAAACTGATGTCTTTAATAACTAGTAACACTTAAAAATGAAAAACTTTGCACAATTCCTAGGCTTCATTGTGGAATTCTTATTTCATGCCCTTTTCAGGATTCTCTGTGTTTCCTTAGCAGGAATTGCTTCTATGGTTAAATCCTAAATATAAGTCCTTGCTGCTCTTCAGAGATAGCTAGACTTGGAAACTGTATCAGGATTTTCACTGGAATACTGCTGGATCAGTATCAGTTTAATAAAATTCATTAGCAGTGTCAAAATGGGTCATTTGTAGCATACAAGTGTCCACTTTCACTGTTTGTTGAATTTTGCCTTTTCATTCATCTTTTAGCAGTCTTTCGTTCTCTAGATTCTGAATGTATTTGATAGGATTTAGTGTAGTGTAGTAATTTTTTGACTGAAAAACATGCAGAAATCTTCCAGAATCTAGATTTCTAGAATGTATTTTCTGAGGTCTGTCTCAGGTAGTGTTAAAATTTGCATTTCAGCTTTGCATTTCTTAAGTTGAAGTAAAGCCATCATACAGTAATAACTTGTGGCAGCACTAATGATCACCAGAGTTTGAGAGGAGTATTTTACTGTAGTTGCAGAGTTCTGCCAGATTGTGATCATGAAGCTGGTGGGGTTTTTTGTTTGTTTATTTAAATCTCTTTTTCTTATTTGTATTTTTTTTTTTAATGGCTTTTATCTGCTTTATATCCATCAAGTTCTGTCAGTGTCTCTGCATCTTCAGGAGAATCATTGCTAATTCAGTGAATGCAGGTATCAGATATCTTGTGGGAAGACTCAGTTTTTGTGTGTAAGTTCTTAGTTGGTAAGGAGAGGTAGTAGAACAGACCACAGGCAATAGATTTGCATAGCAAGAAAATAGTATTTGAAAAAGCACAGCAAACCTGATCTTGTTCTCATAAGGAACTTCTGCCAGTCTTGATTTCAAGTGATATTAAGACTTAACTGTGATTCTCAGACTTTGCAAATTGTCTGTGTTGGTTAGTAATATGTCATGCTTTCCCTACACACTTCTTTCCGTCTGTAAGACATTTGGTCTTCAGTCTTGGTGAGGCATGGAAGGCTCCTCGTAAACTGCCTTTTGTGCTTGTTTTCCAGTTTGAAGCTGCGTGGGTGCTGACAAATATTGCCTCTGGAAATTCCCTTCAGACTCGGATAGTGATCCAAGCAGGAGCTGTCCCCATCTTCATAGAGCTGCTTAGTTCAGAGTTTGAAGATGTACAGGAACAGGTAAAGATAGAAAATGATGTTGTGGTTGGTTTTTTTTATGTGTGTGTCTGGTGGTTTGTGGGTTTGTGTGTTTTTTAATTCCATCCCCAGAATGGAACAAGGCTGTCTTGTGAGAAAGCCTGTAGAGGAAATGGCATTGTCGTTGTACCTAGTATGTGTTAAGATATCTACGCAAGTATTTTTCTGGAAATGATGCATTTAACCACAGCCAAGAGGGTAGTGCATTTTGGTCTCTTAACAGGTTAATATTTTTCTGTGTATTGAAGAATTTAAAAAGCCTTGTTTAAAAAAATTGCTTTAGAGATAGAAAGTTCATGTTTGTTTCTCTTGCAGATAAAGCATGAATGGAAATGGTACTTTGTTCTCTACAGAGAAAACTAGTTTGTTCTTTACATTCCTTATAGAGTATATGTATATACTTCTAAGGCCCAACGGGATCAGTGTAAAGCACAGAGCAAACATTTGACTCAGTAATTTCTGCATGAGGTCCATAACTTATGTTTGACCAAGAATGTATTTCAGGCATATAATCTGGCTTTGAAGACTAAAGGTGATGAAATATGAATTGTGTTAACGAATAAGAGTTTCAGCTAATATTAATCCTGACTTGAAAGTATGTACCTTTACTTTACAAATTTAAGTAGCTTTGGGTCCAGGTATTTTCTTTTGTTTCATTGTCCATTCAATCAGTAAGCTCTGTTTTTTTTTTTTTCCCTATAGCTACTTGTGGTCCATAGATGAAGCTTTTCTTAAGGAAATGAAATTGAGCTCTGAGTTCTCATTATAAGGGTATTTCTGTGATGATCTGTTTGTTTTTTGGTGACCCTTTTCTGAGCATTGATTTGATCAGTATCTTTTCATGGTGGTGAAGTTACAAGCACTGGATATTCCAGTAGCACTCTTCCAGCACAGTGCTGTTTGCAGAGATAGTACTTCATTTTCATTTCTACTTGATACTTTGGTGTGTAAATATCCAAGATACTTTTGCGGATTCTTTGACCAGAAGCTGGCTGCAAGCTCAGGTTAAGATGATTATCCAGATTGATCCATTGTTCTTTTCAGTCACTGACTCCAGGGTTCAGTTCTCCATCCTGTGTGACCTCTGTTCTCTGTTGCTAGATGTCTGACCTTGCATTTGACTGTATTGAGATGCATGATTGGAAGAGTCCCCAGCTCATAAGCATTGGATTGCTCTGTTTTACTTGTCTCTCTTTCTTACAACTGGCTAAGAATGCACATACTTAAAGCTGCCTGACATTTTCTGCAAGACAGATAGGATCTCCCCCCCCAGTTGCTTATAGCTCTCTAGTTCTTCTGTTCTGCAACTTTCCATTTTCATTGGTCTGTCTCAGGCTGAATTATTTTTGAAAAGGTTTTTAAAGATAAACTTAATTCAGGTGCTTGAAAAAATGGAATTATATTAAAGGAAATAACATGGGGGATTGTCTTTATTTATTTTAACTTTCTTTGAGGAAATGAGTCTGTTGTTGTAGAAACTAGAAATGGGATAGGGAGCTTGCCAAAATGGCAGGCAAATGCTATGTTCTGCCCATGTGGAAATCCATCCAGACTTAGCTATACAGTGCTTTTTAAATGTTTTGGGGGTTGAAATTGGTGGTATTAGTTTCCAAATTCAGTGATCACTTGTACAGCGCTGTTCCTGCAGAATGATAGGTGCTTTAAGTGTGGTAAGGGCTGCTCCATTTTTATTTTGCTCCTAATGGTCTTCAGTACAGAGCTAACTTGGTTTTTTTACTAGGTGGTTGTCATCCCTGCTGATGTTCAGAGAGCAGGTGGGAAGACCGAACCTCTTTAGAATGAGTTGTGCAGCCTTCAGCCTTAACGTGTCTGAATTAACAGAAGAGCTTAGGGGCCACAGTTAAGTAGTTTATCTGTCTCCTTCTCTGTCTGCCTCATAATAAACTGCTGACATGTTAAAGTTCAGGTTGCAGGCAGGTGGAGTGGATTGTAATTGCTGGGAAATACTTCTCTGTGCAATTCAGGTAATGAATCCATGATCTCTTTGTTACCAGTAAGCCTCTAAATACTAACTACACATTGCTCTGTAGTAAGCTGTACTAAAGAAGGAAGATACACCACTGTGAATTGTTACCTACATCTTTTCATAGTGGGTTTCCATGCTGCAGGTCTAGAGATTGCAGCCTTACTCACAGCTTGGTTTTCATGCAGGCCAACATGAAAGAAATGGGTTTATCCAACAGCTTAACAAAACCCAAACATGTCACCATAATATCTACTAAAGCAACAATTAAAAGCAATAAGCACTTGAAAATTAGCTCTTGTACTGCATTGGTAGCATTAGTACACAATTGCTAGTACTTTCCAGATGACTGTGGTCTCATTCAGTCAGCCGTACAGATTGTTGCCCTGGTAACAAATCAGTGGGTAGTAGAGGAGGCTTTTACTTGTCACACTGTGGCCCTGTTTGTTAAAGTTGGCACACATTATAGTGAATGAATGAGGAAAAGGAAGAGATCCTATGATTAAGGTGACTGCAGGTTTCTGAGATGTTACTCTGCTTCGTGTCTGATGCTGGACAATTTGTATTCACTTTCAGTAAGTGGATACTGGTTCTGTGTGTTTTGAATGCTCACTGTGAAATATTCCTGTTTTGTTGTCTGTTTGAGGACAACTCAGTGCGTTTTCAGGGGACTTTTGTAGTTAGGTCTGTGTTTTGAGCAGATCTGGTCCTGGACTTCTCAAGCTGGAAGATGTTCAGCCATAATTTTCTCCCCTGTAAAATGATGACTTTTATTTTCTTTCACAATAGTACTCTAAAGGTGATTATTTGGAAGCAACTCTTGCTACATTTGCAACAAATTAAAAAATTACAGGAAAATACAGAAAATAAACCTACATGTTCAGGGTAGATGAGCCAAAAGCTCTATAACCCTGTAGTAAAAGGTGAAGAAAAAAAAAAGCTATATTGAAGGCTGTGTTTAGTAAGCCATTCTTTGTGCTAAATGGCATAATAATTTTGTGGAAGGAAATGTTAGTAACTTTGAATATGTAGCACAGCATAAACAAAACAACAAAAAAATAGTAGTATTTTAATTTTACGTACTTGGCTAATCATTATCCAGTGATTTTTGTCTTGCAGCCTTACACCATTGAATTTGTATTATTTCACACTTCCCTTAGCAGTGGTTGAGGAGCAAATACATGATTTTCCTAACAGTTATTTTTTCATATTTATAGGTCAGCTTTAATCTGATGTGCTAGTCTCTGAGTCTACTGTGATTCTAAATCAGCGGTTTTATAAACGTCTATGTAAGGGAATCTTTATAGTTGTGTTTAATAAACAGCATGTATTTTAATGATAGTATATCTTACATCTTTTTACAAGATCTGTTTCCCATTAAGCTATGCAGGCTGACATTTAATTACCCTACTGTCCTTTAACTCTTTGTTTGCACTAAGTCTTATCAGTCTTTCTCTTTGATCAGTGGTCAAACCATTTGGCGTTTGTTTTTCCCATCAAAAAACCTGAGTTTATTACAGAAGCTACATCTCCACTATTTAGTAAACCCACTTTGGCTGCATCTCTCCACCTCTCTCTGTTTCTGTTTTTGTTGTACTGATTTTGAGGTTTAGTCTGTGGCATATGTCCTGGCCTTCTTCCACTTGCCGCATTTTTTTCTTCCAAAAGGCATCTAGAAATTTAGATATGCCAGCCTGAAATTATTTACATTGAAGGACTTCATCAAAGCCCTTTAGACATGCTTAAGGTTGATCTAGCTTCAGCAATGTCTTAGCTGCAGTTTTTTTTCTGAGTTCCCTTGCTGAGGTATTTCAAACTTGGATGTCAGCTTCAGTTTCCCTGATGAACATTGAAATTCCATCAAAAGCCATACCAGGCATCATGCTCTCTGTCCGAGATGGCTGAGGTTGTCTCACAGTGACAGGTATGTGTCACTATGCTCTGCTAGGCAGCCACTGGTAGGACCATTCCCAGCTGCCCTGTTCTCCTTTGGGAGCATTTGTATTTTCAGCTAAAGCAACTAATGTGTTTCTCCCTCAGTATTGTTTCATTTCTAGTTGTATTGTGGTTCCTTTTTGTAACCATCGTTTGTTTGGCAGAGATGATTGTGAGTCTGGTGTTGAAGTTCTGTTTGGCTTTTACATTAGAAGTCCTGCTAACTAGGTCTTGGCAATTAAATTAGGAAAAACAATTGAGGCAGGAGTATGAGCTACTTTCTCTGTTTGGGTGGGTAAGATGTGAGAAATACGGAGCTATGACCACCCTAGCAACTGAAAGAAAGGTGTTTTCTGTGTTGGGGCACAGTAGAAGTCATCTCCTGGGAATTTGGTCTTCTGGTATCCTTCCTTCTGGCCATTTACGCAAGCACACTTGTATGCAAGCTAATCTTCAGAGTCTTCACCCCGGCATTAGGTACATTTCCCAAATCAGCAGCTAAAAGTAGAGAAAGTGTTGATTTTCACTTTGCAGTATTGCCTCTCCACTGAGACGCACAGACTGTATGCACTGTAGATGGCTGGTTTAGAACTTGGTTTAAATATCCAAAGGCCTAATGAAATAATGGCTAAGAGCCTTCAGAATCCAGGGAAAAATGGGAGGGTTGAAGGAAAGCACATGGATTATTCACAGAAGGCACAATATGGCTCAGAAGTACTCTACAAAACTTGCACTTTACTGAGTTGTCCAGCTCTACAGAAAAAACACTGGAGTTTAAAAATGAGTAAAATAAACTCAGGGTCTGCAACAATCCCTACTTTGCTCTTTGCAATGAATGGAAATTTATACAGGTGTGTGAAAATCAACACTGTCAGTTGAAAAGGCAGCATTTGCATTTTCGGGCTGTATGCAACTTTGATACCTCAGATGTTGGTTAAAAAGTCACACTCAAAATCTTAAAATTGCAGGTTCTTTCCACCTTCAGGTCTGGATGTAGATATTGGAAAGTACCAAAATGGAAGTTTTTTTTTAGAGTCAATTTTTTTATGTAATAAACTCTGAAATTTAATGGACTGAAATATCCATTTAATTCTGTTGCTATCCAGAAAAGAAGATTAAAATGTTTGGGATGTGTAGAAAAAAGCCAAAATGTTACGGTAAGCAAAGTCCATTTGCATCTTGAGAGTGCACAAAAGAAGCAGTGGAAATCATGGAACATTATTCAGGCAAACAAAACCTGAAGCAGCTTTTCATTGTTCACATGTGTTCTGTGGGAACCATGACAGAGCTTTGTATTTTTAGCAGTGTCTGATGAGAAAGAGTTTAAATGAGGCCGACTTATGTTCCTCACTTATGTGAAGAGCTGAAGTAATGCCTTAAAGAAAGAAATCTGCCTCGTTGAATGAAACCTTGCATATTTCTCTGAAGATATTTCAATTTCTTTGCATCTTGTGTACTATCAGTCATTAGTATTACAAGGATTCCTTGCAGCATCCCCTCTTACCAGGCCCTGTGATATAAGGCTACTGGGGCAGACTACTCTTGCTATAAAAAATTGAGAGTCGCAACAAAAAAAAAACCCTCTATTTGAGTTCTCTGGTCAGAGTTTTTGATGTGAGATTTCCTGCTGCAAAGCGAGTCTGTCATTCAGGATCAGAATGGATTCTTGGCTTAAGTGATTATCACTGTTGTCAACCCTAAAAATAATGTTGCTACAGTGGCAGAAGCAAAGTCCACAGAGAAGTAAAATACTTCCTCCAGGGGTGTTTTAATATGTGTAAGGGTGTCCAGGCAAGGAGATTGTATCTTCATAGAAAGTTACACGCATGTTCAATAAAAGGAAATTACTGATAATTCTAATTTATTTTATCCCTAAATGTTGTTTAGAGGATCCACAAGTTTATTTGAAAACCAGCTGAGATCTTTGATTTATTTAATGGGCTTCTTGTTGCTGCAGAAACACAAACATTGCAGTGGGCAACAAGTGTGGCTTCTTACAGTTCTAATACAAATGACATTTTGCAGGAGGTGGTATATATTCTGGTTTTAAAGCTGAGTTTTTCCTGCCTTATCCGTCTTGAGTCTATGAGGCTGCTAGACCCAAGGTTATACTTTTATTTCAGGCAAAGTGTTGTCATAACAGTTGGAAAACACTAAGAATTTGAATGAAAAATATTTTTTTATGGTGAAGATAAGTTTGGGGGGGGACATTGTGTAGCAATCATAGAATTGTTAGGGATGGAAAGGACCTTAAACTCATCCAGTTCCAACTCCCTGCCACGGGCAGGGACACCTTCCACTAGACCAGCTTGCTCCAAGCCCCATCCAGCCTGGCCTTGAACACTGCCAAGGATGGAGCATTCACCACTTCTTTCAGCAAGCTGTTCCAGTGCCTCACTACCCTTAAAGTAGAGAACTTATTCTTTACATCTAACCTGAACCTCCCCTGTTTTAACTCACTGCCCAGTTTCCTATTGCTACAGTCCCTGATGAAGAGTCCCTCTCTGCAAAGTCAGTTTAGCCTTGTGCTCTGTCTCTGGCTGACAGCAGAAGCCTGGAAAACTGTAGGGGTATAAAACAAACCAGTCCTTTCCCAGAATAGTCTCCTGGTGTCTTTAACAACTGGCAGTTTAGGGACTTCTGATTTATCTCTCTGTGGTAATACTGGTACAGAGGAGTCCTTTTATTTTGTATCTAGCAAGCTGACATTTGTATCTATATTTTGCATATACAAAAGGTTTTGGCTGTATTGACCTTGCAGGATTTGCCAGTGGTTTTGGGCCTCTACAGTGGTTGGAGTCTTGTTTCTTAAAGTAGCATCTTTTTGCACTGTTTAAAATTGTATTACAGTAGAAGTCTAATGCAGTAAATCAGTTGACATCATATTGATAATAAGCAAATGCGTTTATTTCAGGTGATTGGAGAATTTCCCTTAGGTGACAAGCCTGGTTTATCCTGTCAGTTGCTTTAGGGGAATAATTTATTTCAGGTAGAGATAAGGAGAGAAAAACGTGTTATTGTGTTGGGAACTTACGTATGTTCAGTTAGAGAAATAGTTATGAGGTATAACACATCTTACTGCAAAGTAATACATAATCCTCAACTGAAGAGAGATCTGGGGAGGACATTCTTCTGCTATCCACAATAAATAGAATTGCTTTTGTCTTCTTTGTAATGTGCATTATTGGAACTATTTCCAACAGTTGTGTAGATATTATGTGGGTTTTACCAAATAAGCAGATGAATGTATCTCTTTGATAGGACATTAGCCCTCTGCTAACTTGAAATAAATAGCAATTGGGAATTTCATACACTTACTTCTGTGACAAAATACAGTCTGTAAATCACGTGGAATTCATAAAATGGCTTTGATACTTCCTGTAGACAACTTTTATTTTTTCCTTTGTTATAGCTTTTGTACTAGTGGACAGTCATGTCAAAACCACCACTTGACCCAAGCGTATAAATCAAACCTTCTGTTCTCATCATACTGCAGAAGATGGATTTCATGCTTCATTAATTATCTTCTGGCATTTTTAGATATTTTCTTCTCAAAATGCAAGGTTACAGTCGTACTGACGTCCATGGGAGAAAATAGATGTCCTTGCATTTTGCCACGCTTATGTCATAATAGGCAACACTGGTTCTGTCTTGTATAGTTTTCTTTTAAGGAATATATGCCAATGCCCATCTGAACTCTGGTTCTGAATATTGTTTTATCTTGCATATAGATTCTCATTTTCATCTTAATTGGGGTCAGCATTCTTAATGTGTCTGTGGAAAAACTGCATGTTTTTAATGGCTTCTTAGGAAATACTAATATGGGCTGTTCCACCCAAATGTTTTTGAGTAGATACAAACTTGCTTGACCTGAGCTATGAACATCTGGACTTGAATCAGGTCTGAATGAGGACTGTAGAATTAGTATGTTATTAAGCCTGAGGAGATAAGTTCATCTGTTGTGGACAGAGTAAGGTTATGTCTGCTTGCAAAGTCTTTGGAGACACACCTGTTGTTTTGGTATTCCTCTTAGTTCTGTAAATATTTCTGAACTGTATAATGAGCTTGGATGTATATATGTAATACTCAACCAGAATGCATTCCCCTTCTGTACTTTGTCCAGGATCTAACAGTGAAAACAGAATGTCTCCCACTCTAATACGTGCAGTAAACTGGTTGAATTGGAAAAGTAAAAGCAATTACTATTGTTTTTTCATTGCAGGCGGTATGGGCTCTTGGCAACATTGCTGGAGACAGCACTATGTGTAGAGACTACGTACTGGACTGTAATATCTTGCCCCCTTTATTGCAGTAAGTCTCTTTTGATATGTTTTACCAGAATTTTGCTTGAGTCTCTATAGTAAGACTGAAGTTTGTTTTTTGCCTTGAAGAATAATAATGACTTTTTCTTATTATGGAGTAATCAGATTTTTTTGATGGTAGCTACTGAACTACTTTTGTAATGGAGCTGTAAAATGGAAATGTGTTTTAGAAGCAGTTAAGATGGAATTGTTTTATTTTACAGGGTGGGTGGATACCTGGGCTTAATATAATAGTCATAGAATAATATAAGCTGAAAGAACCTCTGGAGGTCATCTAGTCAAAGCCTTTCTTCATAGTAGGTGGGATCAGATTAGATTGCTTAACTAGTCAAATTTGGAACATCAGAGGTAGATTCCATAACTGCCTGGGGCAACCTGTTGCAGTGTTTGACTATGGCTTGATGAAAAGCAACGTTCTGATACCTAATCAGAATTTTCTGTGTTATACTTTGTGGCAGTTGCCTCTTGTCCTGTCACTGCGCGCTCTTTTCTATATGTACACATTAAAGTGTTGTTAGGCAGCAGTTATAATCTCCCCTTATACAGCTGTCTCCTAAGGCTGAACAAATCCAGGTCTCTAACTATCCTATTGTGTGTCATTTCTCCTGTCTGTTAAGTATCTTGATGGGCCTCTGCTGAAGGACCGTATTATTGCCGCAGCAGTGACGCCACCTTGTGTTGTCATGTCCAAATTAGTCTCTGTCCTTTGCAGGCTCTGAGGCAGTGGAATTCTCCAGTGCACTCAGAAACACATTGGTACAGTATGGACTGGCTATGAGAAAAAGAAACTTACAGTTGCGGAAAAACTAGGTCTTGCCTTACTGCATTCCTCCTAGGCTAAAGGGTGCTATGACTAGTCATCTCTAAATTATCAAGAAACTGCTTTGTTTAGAGGCTTCACACTGTGTCTGACTTAATTAACCAACTCCACAGGCATCTTTCTCAGTGCCACACATAAGGGGACTCACAGTGTCACAGTGGCTCATACAGCTTTGGTCAAGTGTGATTATTTTAATGTGAGAGGGCAGTTTTGGTATGCAGATCTCATGAAGATGCCAGTATTACAGTTCATCACATAGATGAGCATCCTGGTTTTGTTTTGGAGCAGAGTTTGAACCCTGCAGCTGGTGTGTGGATGTCTTAACAACTGCAGGAAGAGACTGGTTTAGGGTGGTCCGTAGGATGATTGTGTTATAACAAGAATGCAGCTGGCAAGGCTGTTTTATGCCAGGACTGGAGCCAGTGTGCACAGAAAGTCTATAGACAGTGCTTGCTGTAAGATACGTAACTGCCTTGAATGTTTGGGAAACCCTTAACCTGATTATACACATTTTCTGAGGATCTTTTGTTCTCCTTCGCTAGTTAACATGCAGAAATGTAAAAGTGGGGCTGATAGTTTGAGGCTAACTGCAGTTCAGTGAGGAGAGTGTTCTCCAAAGCTGCCTGCAGGTCTTCCTACTTTGAGTGATTTTGTCACAGTTCCTGTGCCTTTTGATTGTTAATCTGCTACATCAGTATTTAGGCCAATAAATGAACGCACTTTCAGTGTAATGGTTGTTGCTTTTGTTGGGATACTAGGATTCATGTGTCTAGCATGTGTATTAGTATCCAGCCATCAAGCACTGTATGATATATTGTTATAGGAAAGAAAAAAAATCTGACTTATTTTGCCCTGGTGTATGTTAAAATCTAGGCCTGAGTTTATTTTAATGATTAATGCAGTTGACCCTACAGGGTTGCCTGGCTTTGATTTTTCAAAAGCAAAGGTTGGAATTTTTTGTTGGTTTGTTTTAGATTGCTTTCGAAACAGAACCGTCTCACTATGACCCGAAATGCTGTATGGGCTCTGTCCAACCTCTGCAGAGGGAAAAACCCTCCTCCAGATTTTGCCAAGGTAAGAGACGTTTGAAAGGAAATGTGTAGCGAGGTGGTGGTAGCCAAATAAGCAACGAGGGTGGTGAAACTTGGACTAAATAGCTGAAATATTTCAGAACTCCTCTAAAACAATATATGGGCTTCTTACAGACGTAGTTTTTGAATGTTTAGTCCTTTCAGCAGATACTCATAACCACTGTTTTAATATAGCTGCTTCCTAGCTTTTTGTTACTGTTCCTGTACTGAAGATGACCATCCCACAGCAAAACAAAACTCTGTGCATCTTGGCTGCTGTAGTTCAAAGTATGGCACATCTTAGCAGACAAGTATGAGCTTAGGTTGCCAGATGGACTGTAGAGGCCAAAGAACTCTTGTAGTGCTTTTCTGCTGACATGCTGCTCTTTACTTGCATGGCTACAGCCCTGCTACCTAGGTTGGAAATTTTTGGAGTATTGAACCTCAGATGACAGTGCCTAGTCCTATAATGTCAGTTAATTTTGTATATGACATGTTACTAGATCTTCTGGCCCTTTTAATTGCACAGTTTATGTATCTCTTAATGTCTTACAGGTTTCACCTTGTCTTAGTGTGCTTTCCTGGCTCCTCTTTGTCAACGATACAGATGTGTTAGCTGATGCCTGCTGGGCTTTGTCCTACTTGTCTGATGGCCCCAATGATAAAATCCAGGCTGTGATTGATGCAGGAGTCTGCAGAAGACTTGTGGAGCTGCTGATGTAAGAAATTTGTTCTGAGAAGTTTCTATCCACTATAGCAAATTACTATCTACTCTTTTTCCCAGAATTAAGATTCCAGCAGTAGGAAGTTTAGTTAGATGTGTCTTGAAAGCAAAGCAAGTATTTGAGTTTTAATTTTACCTATGTTCAGTCATCTTTACATATCATGAGTAACAGAAACAATGGGACTTTTCTAGTACTAGTTTTGCTATTTCCTAAGAGTTTTTTTTTCCCTGCACCTCAGTCTCATTCTCTAGCTTTGTGCTGGCTACATTGTGTGTTTCACAGCTACAGCTGGTTACTTTTTCCCTCCCAAGAATGCCTATACTTTGAAGCACTTTATTCTTTTAATCTCATATTTTGTCTTTATGCTGCTGAATGATGTCTAGAGGCCTAGATATTTAGAAACCCTAGAAAGACTTGCTATTAGTTTAAAATCAGAGAGTGTTTTGATTTATACCGTGAGAATTAAGTCAGTTTTAGCAGGGAAGTTTTCTCCTGGCTGATGCATGTTCCTTCTTTGAGAATGTAAAGATGGAGATGCTTTGGAATGTTTAACACTTAGATATTTCCTTGGTAATTTTAGGCACAATGACTACAAAGTAGTATCTCCTGCCTTACGAGCTGTTGGGAACATTGTCACAGGCGATGATATCCAGACCCAGGTATGGATTCAATTTCTGTTGTGTTGTACTGCAGTTCATCTTTGTTTGTTGGGTAACCTGTTCACAAGCACCTTTTCTTGTTCCTTGTGATGTTTGAATGCGAAGGATTGGTGACATTAGTTGCCTCAAAACAGATGGTGGTTGTGAAACAAATCCAAACAAAAATCCCCACAATCCCCAAAGGAGTGATGCACAATATGACTGACCAGTTCCCAGCCTGTCCCTGAGGACCAGTTGGCCTCTTCCAGATAACTCTTCCCAGTTTCTGTACTGAGCACAATGCGCTGTATATGGAATACCCCTTTGGCTAGTTCAGGTCAAGTGTCCTGTCTGTGTTTCCTACTGGCTTCTCATGCCGTTCCTCACTGGCAGAGCATGAGAGACTGAAAAGTCCTTGATCATCAGGGTAAGGCTACTTAGCAACAGCTAAAACATCAGCGTGTTACCAGCATTGTTCGCAGGCTAACGCCAAAGCACAGCACCGCACCAGCTAGTAGAAGGAAAATTAAGTATTCCAGCCAAAACCAGGAGAATTCATGTCACTGGACACAACACTGGCAACAGTCTCCCTCACTGTGCCGGCTGATGTGTAAAACAGGAGTTGGAGCTTCCAAGTATACAAAAATCACAGAAAACAATCACAGGACAATACTGTTATCTTATTTTGGTTTGGTCATGATGGGTTTAGTATCTTCTGGTAGGTCACACTCAGATCAGAATGAAGTCGCGATATCTTAAGCGAATAACTCGGTTGTTTTGCTCGTTATCTTTCCTGTAAACATTTTTTTCTTAGTACTTGCTGGGTGTTTTGTTTTGTTTTGTGGTTTTGGTGGTGATTGGTGTTTTGTTTTTCCTTGTTAACTTTTTTGGGATCATGTGATGGGAGATGCGTTCTAGATTTTGAAGACATTGTAGTCCTTGTTCTTGTGTTTTTTTAATCCTAAATTTCCTCTAAGGTGTGGTTGTTTGTTTTGTTTTTCTTTTGTGTTCAGGTAATTCTGAATTGTTCAGCCCTGCAGAGTTTACTGCACTTGCTAAGCAGCCCGAAAGAATCTATCAAAAAAGAAGCATGCTGGACAATATCTAATATAACAGCTGGAAACAGAGCTCAGATCCAGGTATGGTACAGCTATGATCAGTGACCTTTGTCTTGCAGGCTAGAAGAAACGCAGGCTGTACACTTTTTTTTATGTATAAAGTGCATATTTGTATATATATGCAGATACATAATTACATATTAACAGAAGTGTGTTATCGGCTGTGTGCATAATTAGAATGTTTCAGTGGTCCAATCATTTCTCAAATTCAAATGATTTAATATACACATTTACAGATTATAAGAAGATAGACAGTCATCTTAAATAGTCATTTTCATGCATTTGGCAATCACTAAGGTAAATATTCTCAAGTACAAAAAGAGTAAGCTACAAACTTTGCAAATCTAATAACTTTACATGGTCCTTGATTTCACTACCAGATACAGACATCTATATTGTAAAATAACTTTTATTCCTGTTTATATTTTCGTACAATTCTCGATACAGGCAGTTGTGCTTAGCCAAGTCTAAAATTGCTACTTACTAAAACTGAATAACAGTGGAGGATATCTAACATGTTGCAGTGGGATTTATCCTTTCTGATTATAGCCTTCAAGTGATAGCACACAGAAGCAAATAAAAGTTTCGCTCCCTTATGTCAGTCTTCACCATTAGGTCTCCAAAAGGCCACATCTTTGTTCTGAGTCTGGAGTTAGTGTCAACTATCAGGAAGAATTCTCAGGACTTGTCTCCAGATGGTATAAATGAGCGATTGACCATCTCTTTCCCAGAGGAAAGTTTTTGTGGGCTAGATAAAAAAGAAACTACTAAATACATTTTGTTTTCTCTGGATATGTCTGTCATTTTTAAACAGCTGTACTAGGGGAATTTTTTGCTTGGATTTCAACAGCAATGCCTTATTCCTTCTCTTCTTGAGAAGTAAATGGAAAACCAGATTGTAGTGAAACCAGGCTTTAGCTGATAAATACAAAAGGTTTCCATCAAGACAGCTGAATTGAAGTCTCATGTGAATAAAATAATTCTTCTGAAGTTAGGTTTCTTAGTGCTCTTCTCCCTCGCTCGAGGCAGAGAGTATTTTCAGGGCTTGCAGAGGATGCAAGGAAGTCCCCTTGGACATGCCTGTTCTTTGAGAAATAAGTAGCAAATATTAGACATTAGAAATACTTGTCTCACTCATTAATAACCAGGCAGAAACAATGCATGTCTGCACAGAAAATAAATGAAGTCCAGTAACACAGTGGCAACAATGGCCATGGTGGAGTACTTCTTTCCTCCATATACTTTTCCTTGCAAGGCAGCTTGCCACCTGCTAGTCTTGGATCTGATGACTCTGGATTATTCCTTCTAAATGATCAGATTAGCATGAAGTACTTAACCCTCTTCACCCAAAGGATGGAATTCTTGGTTTTGTTTTTGCAGAAAACTTGCAGGAGATGGTGAAAAGGCTGCATGTTTTTCCTGACTAAAAAATGTATTATAACCTTTGCAGGTGGCAGTTGCAATCTTTTGGTTGTCTGTACTTCTATACAAAGAATATCCAGCTGCTGAAGGGACAGTGTAAAGCTTTAATACCTTGAATGAGGTCTTCATCTCAGAAAGCATAGGAGATAATACTTCTGTGGAAAATAACTCCTAAGTGTCCTGGTACTAAGAGCCGAATGTTTATCTAATTTCAGAGATGCTTATGTTAGGAAATGAGTAAGCAAGAAAACGAAGAGGGAGAGCTGTGTAGGTCCTTTGTCTAATGTATAGATGTGACTAAGATGGAAGTAGAACTGTGAGGAAAGAAACCTCCCGCAGTTTGCATTTGCTCCTGCTTCCTCAGTCAGGATTTTACTTTTGCTATGTTTGTTGTCAGATGCAGAGAATGATGTGGTTTCTTTATCTAACCTTGGGAGAGCTCCAAGAATTTTGATTATTCCTTTATTGCTGCTTGTATGTTAATCTGAATTAGCTGAATTTCTAACAGTAAGTGCTGTGTAAAATCAGCAACTGTATCACTGTTTTTTGCACCTCAGCAGTTTTCATTGCTGTGCAATTAGCAGTGTAGAAAAGGTAGCAACTACAGCTTATACTGAGATAAAAATGGTTTTACCTTTGCCTTTCTTGCAGTGAAGAATCTTTTGGCTGCTTTATGCTGCTACCACTTTAGAAATAGGGAGGAGCAGTATTTTCTTTCTAGAAGGCCATTTCTGCTTTCCCTGGGAAGCCTTAAGAATATATTCTGAGGAATGTTTCAGCCCAGTACATTTTCTTAACTTTGTGTTTATACCTGTCTGTCAGAGTTGCTTCAGGATGCAGAATCGTATAGGAATATTGGAGACTTAAGAAAAACAAGAGCTTGACAAAATCAGGTATCCATAGAAGTAATTGCAGAAAGAATTCTGTATCAGAGCTGACAGTTTGTTATTTGAGCATTTTTTTCAAAACTTCAGGATCTCTATTTTCATATTCTTGATATACTGAAGATACAGTTACAGTTACCTAGAGGTAACTTGAATTCTAATGCACCAGAAGCTATTTCAATAGTGTATTAACTTCTGTGACTTCTGTATAAGTATCCACTATACCATGCCTTTAAGTGAAGGAGTAAGTGCCTGTCCTTGTTTGCACAGTGTTCTTACACCTGGTATCCACTATTCAAACATGTAGAAGTAAGGCTTTAGGCAGAGTCTTAACTATACCCTTGGTATTCCAGTGTCTTCTAAACTGTTGTCATTATGTCTTTATTTGAAAACAAGTAAGGATAAAATAACCTCTCCTTTGTTAATACAAAATTTGCCTAATCTACCTAAAAAAACCCACCAAACACAAAATATTGTTAGGTACTTCTCTGCATGTGTGTTCAGTAGCTTCAAAATGGTTTGGGGTGCCTTATCACCAGTTTAGGTCAACGCCCTTTCTACTGAGAGCAGATTAGATTGTGACTTGGAAAGGTCATGTGGGAAGGCAGGGAGAGGGAAATTAATGCTGTGAGCCATTAACATTGCACTTTCATTTCTAGAAGGTGATTTTTTTAGAAGTATAAACGCCTTAACTGCATAGAAAAATTGTGATGGTTGTGTGGGTAGAAGCTTGCTTTCTCAGGATTCTTGCATCAGGAAGAACACACGGTATTAATCAAATCAACCAAAATACATGTAGGTTTAAAAGAGTCCAGCTTAAAGCACCCTTAGGATATTTCACATACAAGGTTGGAAGCATGTTGATGCATTACTTGAGTCCAGGGGAAAAAAATGTGAGAAGCAGTTTCTTGGAAGTTGTATCTATGGTTCGTTTAAGAATTTCTCAGGCTCCATTCAGAGTAACTAAACTGCCTTTGAACTGTGAGCGCACAAATGCTATATAGCAAAACACTGTCATGAGTATATACCCAATTTAATCTAGAATGGCAGTAATAAAAATAAGATTAAAAAAAGTGGTTTTTATCCTGATCAGGCGATAACTATCCTGGTAGTTCTGTGAATCATGTCCATCATGTCCATCTGAGGCTTAGATTTTTGGACCTGCAAAAGGACTGTTAGAGGAAAGTTGTGAAGTAAAAGACATTTGGAGAATGTTTACAACATGCTTGATCAGAGATCTTGAGGCCAGGAAGTACAATTGGCAATTGCAGGTATAATTACAATGATTACTGTGTATTGAAAGGAAGCTCTCATTGCTGTTGTGTAACTAATTCTAGAAAAGCTTTTAATTCTTTTAGTTTCTAGTTTCAACCTGGAAAATATCATGTGAGATACAAGGTGTGATAAAACCTCCTTTCAGCTCCAGAGCCACTATGTCTGAGGTGTTACTTCAGACAACTCTTACTCAGTGTTAAAATTGTTGTAAACATTTAAGCTGAAAACCACTTCAAAATAGTTTCTGAAGTTGGAAGATGCTCTTCGGTAAAGTGTTTCTCAAACATGGTCATATATTAAAATGGAGAATAAAAGCCTAGTCTGTTCTTAGTAGCTGTGAGGACAAAGGGTAATTCCCATCTGGGAAGAATATCTGATTTAACTGAGTTCGTGGATGAACCTTTTCATCTTTGAGGGGTTCAGTTGTTTTTTTTCTTTCTCTAAATTAATTTCACATTGGGATGAATTAAAACATTTTTTTCTTGAAAACTGGTCTTCCTTACAGAAGGAATTCTAAAATACTAGATGTAGCTCTATACTAAATAATTGATTTTCCTTTCTCCCCAGTCCTTCCATATTGCTCTATAGTTCCTGCTAAAGGTCATAGATTGTAGCAAGATCTATTCCAGTCTCCATGATACTCACTCGATTTTGAATATAGAATCAAGCACAATCTTTAGCCAGAGATCAGAGAAGAATGATGTCAGCACATGGTAATTTTTCTTCCTGAATGTCTGCCTGGCTTAGTGACCACATTATGGTCACTTACCATCTGATCTAACTGGTGGGTTGCTGCTCCAGAGCAGTTGGAATGTTAGAATAGCATGGAAACTCTGGGTAGTGCTCAAGCCACAATCTAGCAATCCCTTCCACACAGCAAGAAAGAAAAAACAAACCTATTAGCTATTTCACCTAACCAATATTAACAGACAGAGCTATATTTAGTGTTGTTTAAGATTGCATTGGGTTACACTCCCTGCATCCACCCACTCTAAAGTATAGAAATATAAAGTTAGAGGGAAGGACTTCTATATTCATTTCCACTTCCATACTGCCTACAATGCTGATCGGTAGCACACTCCAAAGGCTTTCACTGCCATTTCTAAAAGATAAGGCAGCAGCCTATTGCCGTTAGACTTGCACTCAAACACAATCAAGTAAACTCTAGTGTTAAGGCAATATAAGTTAACATGCATGAAATATGTGAAAGTAAGTGCTAAACTTTAATAATCCTATATTAAAGCATAGCAGGTTTGGGTTCTTTTTTTCTCCACCAAAGGTGGAAGTGAAAGCCTTTCAGAGTGTGTTATCAGCAGTGCCTAGGCAACAGAAAAGTGTGGTGGAATACAGCAGTCTTTCCCCTCTTTATTTCTGTGCATTTAAGGTTTGGGTTGGATGTGTATATCCTGATGCAGTCATGATTGTCACTAAGTATAGTTT